AGCAAGAAATATGTGAGGAAAAGCAAACTTTCATGACAAATTCTTATCGTAATGATAACAAATTCAGAGTAATTTATCATGTTTAAATAAGAATAAGATGTCAGTTATATTCATGGAATAAAGTCTGATAAACATGCTTTACTACTTTACCAGCGCAAAATTTTGCTGGAAGGTGCATTTCTGATTTCAGTGCTTTGAAATTAAGAAAACTGAATGTCTCAAAAAATATGCTTGCGATAGGTTTGCTGAGCAGTTTTTATTCTTTTAGGATACATTAGAGATATTTTCTTTCAAGCATCTCATATCAAAGTATTATAGTAGATTGAGTCTGTTGAGATCCTTTTATAATGTTGAAAGGCCCAGTCGTTCTCCTGATCAGAATTTGTCATTATGGACGTTATGAGCTTTTTCAATTATTAAAACTGTACTCAATGAAAACTGTTTTCTGCTATCAATCACCTGCGTCCGTTTAAGTAGCGCTTGGTTTGATTATTTTATGCTTGCTTTCACGTTCTAGCTTCTAATGGCTTTCAGCTTGCAAGACCGAAGTTCAAGATTTTCAGTACAACGAAACAAGCTATTTTTTAGTTGATCTACACATCAGTGGCAAATGTTCTTAAAGAAATTTTGATTTTTCCAGTATAATTTTGCAATATAATTAATAATCATAACTACCGTATTTGACGGCATATAAGACGCACTTTTTTTCCAAATTTGGTCTCAAAAAAGTTACCTGTGTCTTATATGTGAAGGTAATTGCATTCAATAATTGTTTATTTGGCTATTACGAAACGTAAGAACTAAAAGAAACCGCGCTATTGAAACTTTTTTTCCTTGTGTGTGGCCGTCTAAATAAGGGTGCGTCTTATATGACGTCAAATACGGTAACTGGTTTCTCCGGGGGCTTACTGTGCATTTCGTTCCTCATCTTCTAATCTATGCCTATAACATCGAGTTTTTGAAATCGTCTGGCTGCCTACTTCAACACTTAAAGAAGATGAATAATATCACATTACCTCTTTCACTGCGCATATAAATCCAAAATTTTACCTTGTATGTTAACCATAACAGATAAAGAAAGAAAGAAATGTCGAACTCTGTTTACGTCTCGTAGAAAGATTAATATTTGCCGACAGACAGGCTTAAAAGCTTAATGCTAGAAATGCGGCATTTCCTTTCAAACTTCGCCCAAGTTAGTTCTTGTTAGTATAATTGGATTACAGTTCTCTGACTGTTTCTGAAAACACTTCTGATTCAAAGTTTTTTTTTTTTTCCCGGGGAAGGGCGGTATAAGTGTGTTTTGAACTCAAAAGATTATGGCCACAGACAGGCTTAAAATTTTAGCGCTAAATATATGGTATTTCTTTCCTCCATTATTAAATTATTTCTTGTCCGCTTGTATTAGTAAAACTGGATTACAGTTCTCTGTCTGATTCCGGAACCGCTTCCTGATTCAGAAATTGCTTTCGAAAGGGAGGGGTATATGTGTGTTTTGAATTTTACGAATAGATTGTACTGTTATTCTTCTGAGGTGGTTGTTTGCTTTCTATATAAAAGGGTATAAGGTATTTCTCCCTCTTTCCTAGCGTCCTTCGTGGTGTAGTGGTTCTGCACGCTGGGCCGGTATTCCAGAGGTCCGTGGTTCGATTCCCGGCGAAGGCGGTTGCTAATTTTTCATCTCTCTGACTTCCAAAAAATTCTAATGTCTCTACAGTGGCGCCCGAACTAAAAGGGTTGTAAATGATGATTCTCCACACCCAGGATTTGGCGACTAGATCCCCTAAAACCCTAGTCACCCTTCAAAAAAGGGGAGTATATAAGGTATTTCTCCTTCTTTCCTAGCGTCCTTCGTGGTGTAGTGGTTCTGCACGCTGGGCCGGTATTCTAAAGGTCCGTGGTTCGATTCCTGGCGAAGGCGGTTGCTAATTTTTCATCTCTCTGGCTCCCAAAAAATCCTAATGTCTCTAAAAGGGATTGCGAAGCGATTCTATTAAACGACGCGATATAAATGCTATATTCTAGAAACTAAACAAAGCTCTAGAAAAATATAGCACTCAAAAGTATAAAATATTTTCTTAACGAGAATTTTTTAGGAAAGTTTAAGAGGTCTTCCAAATTACCTTATATGCCAGATAGGGTTATACAGAATGCTCGAAGTTGTAAGGATCTTAAGTTTTCCTAACGTTTATTTTATTTTAAAACTCTACTATACTTTCTTATTTTCCACTTCCGGCCAGAGTTAAATGCGTTAACTTGTTTATGCAAATTGTACTTGCTAACGCCCAAGTATTTAAATTGTGGCTTTTTGCCAAGAGTTAGAGAATAAAGGATTCAGTATACCCTTCTTGCTTGTGTCGTCTATTCCATGCATACTGGAACATAGCTCTCTGTTCCTATTCAGGATACGTTATTTTCCAAAGCAAGTCAAAAGACATACAAGTCCTGACAAAGTGACTACATGTTTGAAGGTCCGGACATCAGTTTAGAAGTTATAAGGTCCAAGGTCTAGTGTTTGGTTCTCGGCGAAGAGCATGGTCGGTTTTTCCCCAGATTTCTTTCTTAAAAAAAAAAAAAAAAAACGAGAGCAGTGCTTATACGGTGTAGAAGCACTTTGCTGGATGATGAAGCTTCACCTTCATCGGCACACTGAGTCTCGCATCCTTTCTCACTTGCTTCTTAAGTGGATCGGTGTGTAAAGAATTAAATAAACTTCTGTCACATGCGTGTCTGGTGAATGTAATATCTTATCTGTTATAGCTAAAGTCTGCTGTAAAGCTTCGTGCCCTTACTGGGTGTGCTATCCAACAGGAGCTCTGTTGATTTTTCATCTTCAAACAATTAATTTCAAATCAATACAATTAATTAATTTCAAATACCCTTTTTAAAAATATCAAAACTCGTAACTTTATATTAAAATAAATTCATTTTTATACGACCCTTAAATCAAAGTTATTTTTCTTCCAGTAAAACTGCTTTTAGTCGTATAATTTTTGCAATTTTTCTGAGCCATTTTTTGTGTTTTGTGGACCTCTCCTCCCCCCAAAAATGCTTGTTTGGAACAGCTAACTTAAGTTAAATGGAGAACCATTAACTAATTGAAGATTTCTACTGCTCGTAGTTTAAAAATTTTAATTTCGTATATATTTACTAAAGTCTTTCACTTGACCAAAACTGTCAACCTTCTTTATTTCACTCGTATCTTAAATTGAAGTAATGGGTCTACGATTAAATATTCAGAAAATGTTTCGCTGTGCAGTACTTTTGAAAGCCTTATAAAAGCGTTTAACTGCTTATTTTACTGTAGAAGTTTGGTTGGATCTGCATGATGTAACATTGTTTAATATAAAATAATAATATCGATATTATATTGTATTGTTCAGCACAAAATCATCAAAATGAAATGTAGATCTTTACATGGAATATCACAGGCAGGTTTCAAAATATTCTGCATCCATTACCTCATACACGGATCCTGATATCAAATTAGCTGAATTGCATTTATGATCTTTAACCAAAAATGCTTTAATGAAACGGAACTCACATAGAAAATAGGAGAACGACTTGTAAACACAAAAGGAGATTTCAGATATGTATACGAAACTCATTATAATTTAAAAGACAAATGATAAAAGTATAGATCACTATGTTTTCGATATAAAATTTTCGATATTTCAATCGATATAAAAGTATTTTTCAGTTTAACATGCATGACAGCACAGTGGTACCAAAAAATCGATCATTTATCTGCAATAACATTCTTCGGCTCCACAGAATGAATCGTAGTTTTCTGGGAAAAACAGTAATGATTAAAATATTATACGTAAATGTAAATAATTATGTGTACGAAATATCTACGCAGACTCTCATTTCGACATAAATATCACTTCCAGTGTTTCGCAAGGGTATAAAGGTCGAGAAATGCTAATTTATATCTATGATCATTTGAAAAAAAAAATGAATTATTATGTAGCAAAACCAAAGATAATGAAGTTGAATATATCATTGATATTTTAACTGAAACATAATTTTCCTTACTAATACACTAATGCTAAATCTAATCAATAAATATTAATCCCTACCAATGTATTTCTGTACAAAAATAGTCGATCCGTATATGAACCATATTTAGTCATTATTGGTTGTTCTCTCAACCTTGTCTTTCCTTCGTAGAGGGGATTCTGCTATGGAAAAAGAAAGTCCTCTAAAATCTCGTTGCAATTTATATGCCTTTTGCATAAACATTAGTGCTCATAATATTCATTAATAATTTAAAACTATTTTTCATTTTTATAGTCAAAGGCTACGTCTAGCAGTATGCAAATATTCATAGTTAAACGAAATTTACTCATAAAGTAAGTTAATAGTTCAAAATTCTCATTAAGTTTGCAAAGGAAAAAATTTATGCAATATTAAAAATACATTTTATGCATAAAGCGAGTTCATTTGCATATATTTTTTTCCTGTGTAATAAAATGTAAAACTAATGCGAAGCTAGCGAAGTTAATTCTAGTTGTACTGCATAAAACCTGTACTGCATAAAAACTGAGCTCTTTTTACTTTTAATATGTCTTTAATGAATATTAAACCATGAGAAACATCTTGAGACCAGAACCTGATAAAAGTAGTGTTTATTGAATTTCTGCTCACTTGACAATCTAAATGTAAAATGGTATGTATTTCACATTGAAACAGGAGTAAATAGTGTTAAAAATAGCAAGAAAAAACATTTGCTTTCTCCGCTCAGAAATTTTTTTTACCCGAAATCCATCATTTTCTTTGCAAAATTAACTGACTCTAGCTAAATCCTAATTTCAAATTTTTTAAAAAAATTCAGTTTAAAAAATTAATCAGAATTTACCTTAAACCATCTCCTTAAAACAAGTTAGTGAAGAATAATAAAATTTTCTCCAATTTCTTAAATTTGAATTTAGAAGCTTTGATTGTCTATGTGTCTCTTTATTAATAGTCTGATCTCCCTTTTTAACATTTTATCATTCCAGAGTTATGTTACGAACAGTGAGTTACTGCCTTCATGGTCTCGTGCCGGCCTCTTGTATCTGTGCCGATCGATATGATAGAGAAGCGGTGGTTAAAGCTCTTGGAGATGAAGCAGGTCTCAAACCAACTCTGGTCTTGGGTCAGTTGTCTTCCACACCAGACGAACTTATAAAGTTGGACCAGGTGAGCAAGTTCTTAAGTTCTATAAATATTGTATGAATAAAAATTATACAACCTTTTACGATTTTAAAATTTCAGGTATTCAAATTTTACAAAAATTTCTAAAATACCAGGGATTGAACGATATGTTTGTACCTCATTGTTTGAGTATTAATATAATACTCTGCAGCAAACGCAAATTAATTTAATTTTTTTAGCTATTATCTTTCCATCTAACAAATGCGGGATTCGTATATACTGAAATCTGACAGAATTTCTACATCTGCAGCTGACACATAAATTCGGAGTATAGAAGAGTTCTAGCTTATAGAGGCAGCTCAAGTTTCAGAAATTTTTTTTTCCTTACAACTAAAGATTTACTGAGATTTATAGAATCAAAAGATACGTAAGCGAAGGGAAAACAGTCAGAGAAGTACATACTTCATAAATGACAAATACAGCAAAAGTCTTTTTTTTTTTAACGTGCATGTAATCGCTACCTAATTTTACATCTTCGCAGATCTAATCTAACATCTCAGCAGAATGCTACCTTTAAAAATTGCCTTAAGTTATTTTGATTTTCCTTTGATTCTGTAAACTCCCGAGGGAATCCCAGTTCATATGAATAATCTCTGTTTATTTCTGTAATGAAAAACTTCATTGTGTGGTCTCTCTTTCAAGTATGCAAGTACAGCACATGCTGTTTTAGTTTTATTGCTCTTGCTGACCTCTATTAATTAATCATAAGAACGAGTGAAATCGGAGCAGATATAGAAGAAGAAATTTATGGAATATAAATGACATTTTGCAGGTCATACTGTAGAGATATTAGGTATTTTTTCCAAGCAGGAAAGATGAAAAATGAGCACGACCACGGACCTCTGACATACGCGTCCAGCTTGCAGACCACCACACCACAAAGGCACGCTAAGAAGTCGGGAGAAATACCTTATATACTCCCTCTTTTAAAAGGCGACTGGGATTTTAGAGGACCCAATCGCCAAATCCTGGATGTGGAGAATCATCCTCCACCACCCTTTTAGTTCGGGCGCCACTATAGAGACAATAGTTTCTTTTTGGAAGCAGGAAAGATGAAAAACGAGCAAATCCTTCGCCGGTATCGAACCACGGACCTCTGAAATACGCGCCCAGCGTGCAGACCACCACACCACGAACGCGTGCTAAGAAGGCGGGAGAAATACCTTTTAATACTTTAGAATAATCATTTTGATATTATCATTAACTATATTTTCACATAAATATTTAAGAGTTTTCCTTTAAAAATAGAAGTAGAATATATAGTTTTGGCATAACCGCATTCATTCTGAAATATTTACTTGAAAAAATTTATTCTTCTTAGCAGAAGAATAATTTTTTTTAATCGGACAATTTTAACCAGACATTTTTGTTATTAAACGTAAAGTTCATTTATAATAATATACTAAGAATGTAAACAAAACTAATCAAGATGTCTTAAAGTACTTGAGAGGAAGAACTTATTTTAATTACATTTCCCATTTCATAAAAATATGGAAGACTTTTTAACAATTTAACTTTTACAAGCATCTTGCATGTTTAAATGTACGTAGAAAGTGAATTAAGACTCCACATTCATGAAGTGAATGCAAATATTCGTGAAATGCTCAAATACTTTTGTTCCGCATGAGTATGAATCTGTAAACAATCATAAGCACCAGCTAGGAATTTTAAGGAAAAGGAAATATACCAGTAAAGGATAATGTACAGGAAAGACAAAGCTGAATGAAGGAATGAAAGACAAAAGTAAGAGGAACATGAATGAGAAATTTAAAATACATTAATAACCATTTCTAATTTCCCTGTTAATAAATGTTAAGTATCAGATACTTGCATGGGCAAATCATTTAAGAAGATTTGCGAAAGTTATTCAGTTAGGAATTAGGACGACTAGGGATCCATTCACAAAGCTGGAGTCCTAGAGGCAAAATCTTTTACAGAGGCCCTCTTCCGTTCTTTTTCAGAGTGGTAAATCAGTGAAGATAATCATATGAAATATTTCAGGATATAGCATAACAATCCGACAAATTTTCCTTCAAATCTATGTAATAATATAAATATATTATAAATCACCTTGTATATCTATCTATATATATATACTGTTTCATAAAGTTGACGATGTAATCGCTGAAACATTCTGTGATCCGGCATTCGTCTATCCGGAAACTGCGCGTGATACATTCGAAGCGTAGCTCTGACGTTACTTTTTGCATGATCCCCCCATGTAATGTATGTCTGCTTTTTCGGCATACGTAAAATTTCCCATCACTGACAACAACACAGTCGCGAATGGCATCTTACCCTTGTAAAATCATGACTTATAAAGCAACAGATTTATAATACAGAACTTCCTGTTTCTTTAGACGAAGAACCACGGGGTCCGCCGAAATGGCCGGAAAGTGATCAAGGAAGAAACTCGTTAAGGATAACCGCCCGGTTACCTTCGGACGCAAACAAAAAACGTAAAAAAAGTGCTTTTGTCTGAAAAACGCCGGAGTAGTAAGTCGCATCATAAGACGAGAAAGCTCGTACTTTTCCCTTTATGCAACTGTGCTGTATTTTTATCTTCTTTTTAACCGAGAAAAACTTGTGTTTCAAAATAAATATTTAGCCCTTAAATACAGAGGTGGGGTCTGTATGACCGCGCCAATACTTTAGAACTGCGGAACTGTTTAGTTACTGTATAATTATTCTATTCCCTTTCAGTACTTTCAAGTTGACATAAAATATAACTATTTCTAAATTTTTATTAAACTCTATCCATTAGTTTTTTTTAAATAATTTTTTTAATTGGGCCGCGGTCATATAGATCTGACCTCTGCGTTCACGTTACTTTTCTCTCGCATGAGGGGGGGGATGGCTTTATCAATACTTGAGTGTCGAACTTGTAAAATAACTTAACTCTAGCGGTTTGACGTATGTCGGTACTATGAAAAAAATAAGAGAGAAATACGAAGAGAATTTTTTCCAAATAAAACAAAAAGTGAAGGATCTTCCTTTTGTGCACTCACAAATAGAATGACTTTCGTTTTGTATGTGCATCAAAAATTAAAAAGTGTTATTCTCAATTCTTCAATGCATCATTCGAAATCAGAAGATCTTGAAACTGAAAAATAAAAAATAATAACATTTTACAATTTGACTAAAGGAGGTGTAGATGCATTGGATGAAAAATGTTCTAAACTTTCTACAAATCGAAGAACAAGGCGATGGCCAATGGCCATATTCTTTAGGTTACTCGATGGAAGTAGAATTAATGCACATGTAACACATCAATGGAAAAAAAACGATTTTTTGATTGAGTTATCATAAGAATTAGTGAAACCACGTATGGAACGGAGGCTTCAAAACCCAACTGTGAACCGAGAAATAAAAATGTGCATTCAGAGAGTGCTAGGAGTTTACAGCGGAATCTCTTCTAGCCCAGATGTGACTGATACCCTTAAAAGCGTAAAATATATTTTCTTTGTCTCCCTAAGAAGAAAACCTACCTATGTTTCAGCTGCAAGAATCCAATATGCAATGAATCGGCCAAGAGAAATTTGCTAAAAATTGTGCTGAAAATGCTTAAAATAATATGCTGCAGTTTTTTAATATTCTTTACATATTATACTTTTTTGCATTATTTTATATAAATCCAGATTTAGATGAAAAATTTATTAAATATTGTAGTTTATAAGCATTTGCAAGTAAGTAGTGTTTATTTTATTTATTTGATTAAATGTTTCGTACTTTTTAGCATATGATTTAAAAATTAATTTTAATGCATTAATTTTATAGTTTTAAAAAGAACTAATTACATCAATATAACAAGCAAAGTATATTAATGCTTATATAATAACAATAGTAATTTTAAAATTTTATATTTTTAAAATGCATAAAATACAACGCGGTCTGAGAGACCCCTCTTCTGTGTTTACGTAACAGAAAATGAACTTCTTGTCTTTTTAAACCTTAAGGTTAAAAAGACAACTGAGCTTAGTATATCCAACACGGAAATTTCGCAAACGTTACAGCTAAAATTAATTGGTATCAGAGGTGTGAAACTGAAATACACGGAAAAAGACTACGGGCCTAAGTCGGGGTAAGAGAAGGAGTGTCGGACTCCAAAATCCAGTTCAGTTAATAAATTGTGCTGAAATTAAACTTATATAATTGTAGGTGTAAGAGAGAAGAATTGCTATAAGTATGAAAGTTCGAAATGTTAGCTGGTATTTTGGCAGATAATTTCTAAGACTTCTTGTAAATTTTAAATGTTGGAATTTTCCGTTAAGGAGTGTAAACGGAAATTAGTTAGTTTAGTTTGGCTCATCAAAAGTCTCAAAAGTTAGTTTGGCTCATCAAAAGTCTCAAAAGTTGTTTTTTAAATTTGGCATGACAGTCAGTGTCCGAAGATCTCTAGCAGTTTTAAGTTTTATGGGACCGCTAGTGTTCGTAAATGTTTTAGTGAACAGAAAGGAGCGTCAAGTTCCAAACTTCAGCTCATCTTAAGTTGTGCGGGACAGTTAATGACCGAAGACCTATAGCATCGCGTTTAAGTGTGGAATCAGCTGTGTCCGAAAATTGTGTGTTGTGGAAGGGCTTTGAAGTGTCGGGACCATCAGCATCCATAAAAACTTTAAATGGGGATCTACAGAATCTACATATTCCAAGCATCAACCAGTGCTTTCAAGTCTACAAATCCAGGCGGGAGAGTACCTTGGATTTTTTATATTGAGGCAGGGAAGGAATTTAAGTTATTTCTGTAATTTAATTTATACAAGTTCAGGTAACAGTTTTTTAGTAGACATTGTTTTCTGTAAAGGTTAAAGAAATGTGTTGCTTTAGTTTTGTGTTTACAAATAACAAAGCATAAATTTTAAAATTTGAGTTTTTATTAATAGATCTCTAAATATCTGAAACATTGAAATTAAGACATTGTTTCTGTAAAGCATAAAGAAACTTGTTACTTTGGTTTTATATTTACAAATAAGAAAGAATAATTTTGGAATTTGAAGCTGTGTTAATTATTCTTTTAATAACTGAAATGTTGATGAGTTGTGCTGAAATTAAGACATTCTTTCTGCAAAGCTTAAAGAAACATGCTGCTTTGTGTTTACAAATAAGAAAGCATAAATTTTAGAATTGGAATCTGTGTTAATAGACTTTTTAATATCCGAGATGTTAATGAGTTGTGCTGAAACTAAACTTATATAGTTGTAGGTGTAAGAGAGAAGAATTACTATAATTATGAAAGTTCTAAATGTTAGCTGGTATTTTGGCATATCATTTCTAAAACTTCTTGTATGTTTTAAATGTTAGAATTTTCCGTTAAGGAGTTTAAAACGTTAGTTTGGCACATCAAAGGTCTCAAAAGTTGTTTTTCTGGGAAGATTGTTTTACTTGGAATGTGTTTTATTTGCGTAAGTATTTTAAAACTCGGTAGTGAATTATATTTGATTACGAGTAAAAATCATGTGCAGTAACACACTGTAATTATCAGGGATATAATAAGATCACGGCTTAAGCCAGTAGTCATTTTGATTTTACTTTACGAGTAATCTAATAAAAGTCACCACGAATGTAGAAATAACGTTAATAACGATAAAATTTTGTCAGTTTGCTTGTTCTTATTCTAATCTCATACATTTGCTTTAAAGTTGATTTCTTAAAGATGATTTAACTTTCTGAAAAACAGAAATAAGCTTAAGGGATTTTTCAGGTATTCATCAAAACTGAACTCAAAGTTGGCATCATTCTTGTCAAGGAAGGCCAATGTACGGAAGAACAAATTCTGGACAATCGAACACATACGCCTCTTTTTGAAGAATTTCTTTCCATCTTAGGAGATAAAATCCGTTTGAAAGGTTTGTTTCGGATTTAAAGACTATAAATTTAATCCCTGATCCTCTCTTATTTTTAAGTTGTTGATTAAATAGTTTTTCTATTCTTCAGCAGAAATTCAGCTTCATTAAAAATATTTTCATTACGAGATGTCATGAACAATCAAATAAGCGAAGTTTGAGCGATGGATGCGAAAAGTATTCTTCAAATTTGAACATTTACTTTTCGAACATTTTACAGTTTACAATTAATAACTATTACACTCGATTTTGATTAACAAATTAATACGAAAATATTGTATAACAAACTGCTACTTTAAAATATTTTCAGACATTTTTGTATTAAAATTGAATATTTAAGCCCCATCATAATAAATGCGTATTAAAAATTTATTCTTTACGGCAGATTTATTCAAATTGTGAGCCAGAAGAAAGTTTTCAAACGTAAAGCATAAAGTCGGAAATCTTTTCTAGTTTTGCTCTTTCGTAATTTGAATCGTAAGATATGATTCCCATCTCTTCCTCTAAACTTGCTAGACGTAAAAAGTAAATATTTTTAAAATGGATACTTAAAAGTCATAGAATGTTTATTCCAACTCGAAGAAAGAGTAAGTATATATTTCTTAAATATAAAATTTAGAACTTAAATATAAAATTACTTTATAAATTTTAGCTCGGCTATCGAATTAAATCGTTTCTTATTAAAGGATTTAATATGTAAATGATACAAGAGGATTTATTTAACCACAACTTTCAAAACGTTACGGTAAGACGCCTTCCCTTAGAGATATTAATAAGTCTCTTAACTCGAATTTCGAGAAGATGATTCATAAATTTTCAAGAATTCTGACCTCAAAGGCAAGAAGTTGATTTTTAATGAAGACACTGACAAAACAAAAATGTTCATACTTCATATTTTGAAAAAAAAATTGTAATTTGAATCCTCAATACATACTTTAGCCACTTAAGGTTAAACGAAATTCACAGAAAAGCCTTTTTAGTGTATTCACTAAGTACGTTCGAAAACCATTTACTTAACAAATACGCAACAGTTTATGAAAACGTTCCGAAAAGGCCTGTACATACACTAACTACCAATAAGTATTTGGACACCTGTGATAGAAAAGAAAAACTAACTTTATTCAAAATCAATAGTTGATAGAGCCTCCACGAGAGGTAATTACAGCGTGGACCCTCCGGGGCATACTTTCCACAAATCTTTGTATGACAGCTAGTGGTATTTTCTTCCACTCGGCTTGGAGAAGACATAGAAGTTTCTTCACCGATTTTGCACAGGTAGTGCACTCCTGAATTCGGCGATGCAACTCGTCCCAGAGGTTCTCAATAGGGTTCAGGTCTGGACTCTGGCCAGGCCAGTCCATTCGATGAACTCCATTGGCACCATACAAAGCCTTGGTTAACGTCGAAACATGACAACTGGCATTGTCGTCCTGAAAGTAACAGGGGTCCAACCCGTAAAACTGCCACAACGTAGGAAGCACATTGTCATCCAAAATAGTGCAGTAGGCATCGGAGTTGAGCTTACCATGAATGGGGACCAAGGGTCCCAGCCCATTCCAGGAGAAACACCCCAGACCATAATTTCACCTCCGCCGAACTTGACTGTTGGCACAATGCATTCTGGCAGGAGACGTTCTCCAGGTAGACGCCAGACCCAGACCCTGCCATCCGAACGGTAAAGGGTGAGCCTTGATTCGTCACTCCACAGAACCCGTTTCCACTGATCTACGGTCCATTTTCGATGTGCTTTGCACCACATTAACCGAGCAGCGCGGTTAGACTTTGTGATCAAAGGCTTATGGGCAGCAGTACGACCATGAAAACCAAGCAGATGTGCTTCCTTACGGATGGTATTCACTGAAACAATACTCCAGTATGCCGATTGAAACTCCTCGCGGATGAGGGCCATCGGTTGGGTGCGGTTCTTCCGAATTTCTCTGGACAGCACTCGTCGGTCTCTATCTCCCAGTTTCGTTGGTCTGCCAACTCTTGGCACATTCCGACAATCACCGCTCACCTTCCACTTCTTAATCACCTAGGCCACTGTCGATTTTGGGTACTTCAGATCGCTAGATATGTCCCTTAAGGATCGGCCACATTTGTGATACCGATAATTATACCATTCTCGAAATCAGAGAACTCCGAACTCCGAGGCATCTTGCATGCGACTAAAGCCGATGCTGTTTCCTACACGATATATACCAGCGTAGTCCATGACGTACCTTAGGACCGCAGATATCGTCATTTGCATAGGTGTCCAAATACTTATTGGTAGTCAGTGTATTATGTACATGTAGGCCTGTACACATTCGTTTGACTAAAACTAAATATTATATTCTACATTCTAAAAAAACAAGAAATGACATTTTATATTTTTGATTACAGAGGCTTATAATTTAGTTTATCAATTTATAAGGAGTTGATTTTTAAGAATCTGTTTTAAGAAGTTTTTGGTGATGTATTTGAATTTTGAAGCTGTATTTTGAAGCTGTACAGAATCCAGTGTGAACGTTAACAGAATACAATGATATTTTTTTTTTTTTTTTTTTTTTTTTTTTTTTCCAAAATACTGAAAAGACTCGCTCATCTAAAGCAATTTCTAAATTTGTATGATTAGAAACTGCATACAGGAATATGATATTTCTATCTACAAAGATGCGAATACATGAATTTAAACTTTATGGAGTAACAAAGGCGTTTCAGGAAGTGAAAAAGGATTTACGAAATAATGAAAAATTTCAAAAACTGCACTTCAGAAGTTTTTAAGGAGTTTTATAGTTTAAAAATATAACATTAATAATAAAATAATACAATAATACAAAACCCTAGAGAGCAACAAACCTGTTATACGAAGGCAACTTTGGAAACTCTGATTTGTAGAGCAACGTTAGGTAAAGTAGATAGAAAGTTTTACACGGAGATTATTGATATAGCAGGATTATTGTCATGATTTTGGAGTGCTCAATTTCCTTTATTCTTGTGGGTTTTTTACCATTTGGCAGAAGTCATCTTCCAGTTCGGTTTTGGCTGCCGCTTATATCCATACAGAGTATTTAATTGTTATTGACTGTATGAGGCATTGCACTGTTTATGCAGTTGACGTTATGTGCTTTCAAGCGGGAACCATAAATGCATGAATAAACGGAAAACGTGAATAGTTACTTACCTGATCATTACTGTGGGAAACGTCATGTCAGAGACGTTAGAAAAGTAACCAATTGGCCGCAATTTAATTTTAATTTTAAGGGTCATTTGAAGGTGACTATAAGAATTAAAATTTCTGTTTTTTAAAGCAATATTTACTTAAAATAATTAGCTTATATCACCTGAACCAGTAGGGATGATAGTTTATGTTCTGTAGAAGATGTTTCTAATTTACATGTAAATATTCACACACTATTTTTTTAGGTTTTGACAAATATAAAGGCGGCTTAGATTCCGTGCACGATCTAACCGGAACAGAATCTGTGTATACAGCATGGAGAGGTATTGAAATTATGTTCCATGTTTCGACTCTCCTGCCTCACGAAGAACACGATCCGCAGAAGGTTTTCACTTTCAGTATTTTTCTCAATTGATTTATGTTTTGTTCGTTGTGTCTTTGTATAAACAATGTATAATTTAATGCCCGAAAGCATAGCATTATCTGATAAGGAAAACAGAAACGAAGCATTAAGACACAGAATAATGTACAAAACAGTTTTTCGAATTTCGGATACGAATCTTTATCCGTTTGTTAAAATTCAAATTCAAACTTATGGAAAGCTTTCTGCAGGGAAAAATGAAAGTAAATCTTCCGTTTATAGCACATTTATGCAAAAAAAATCACATAGGAATACACATTTTGCTACTTGCATTAAATAGATTATAAAACGGTGATATCTTGCTTAGGTTCTTTTATTATAAACTCTTCCTTTTATTTAGTTAAGCTTTTATTCCGACTAATTTTACTTTTTGCTTTGTCTTTAGCTCAAAGAACAGAAAATTTATTTTAAGTTTACTTGCTTGTAAGAGTGGACTAATCCCTTGCAGTATTGTTCTATTTAATTTGTATAACAATTAATGATTACTGAATAGCACTATTTATTACTTAAGAACTGCTTATTATTTTATTTCATACCAGTAACTAATACACGTAGAGACCGCCAGTATCAGAAAAGGAAAATTTATGAAAAGTCATGTACTCGCTCAGATTTTCTTTTATCTCTCAAAACGCTATCGAAATTAAACAGTAGAATTAAAATCATAAATATCTCTCTTTTTCTTTCTGATACTTGAAAAAATAATTAGAAATAGGAGGAACATTTTAATTAAAAACTAAGAACAGTTACAATATGTCAGAATTCAATTGCAATTAACGCATAAATGCATCTTAAACAAATAGGATTAATTTCTGAGCGTTTTATTGCAATCGAATAGCACAAGAATACAGTGTTATTTTTAGCTCACGTCAATATTGGAGATACTCAGAGATAAGCCGATTAATTAAAAGCCTTATTATTCTCAAAGATAACGAGCCAATGTTTCCATTATTTTAATTAGAGGCTTTTATTTTCAGCTCCAGAAGAAGAGACATATAGGAAACGACATCGTATGCGTCGCTTTTTTAGAAGCTGATGATACTCTTTTCTCTCCTACGTGTATTAAATCCCATTTCCTTCACACTTTCATTGTCGTCCGTTCTAGTCCAATAAATAAAAGTACGCCTACGTCCTATGAGGTGAGTTTTCTTATTAATTTCTTTTAGCTTCTTTTGATATGTTGGTGAAGAATAAACTTCAGAAAAGTAAAAATAGGCAAATCAGCAACCTTGTGCTTGGCGAAGATTTTAATTAAAATATGCGCCAAGCACAAGGTTGCTCTTTTGCCTAATTTTAAGTTTTACTTTGGCGTGTTTCTCTTCTCTCTTTCAGAAATGTGTTTGTTAAAATTGTCAGTCCTCCTACACAAGGAATTGTAACAAACATTCAGCAAATTCTTGAGAGGGGATTGTTCTATGATATTTAAATTAATATCAAAGGCTTGTTTGATCTGATATTTATGATAATTTAATTAATATCAGTAGCTACTTTGCATTTCGATATTTTTAATTTTGGTTTGACCATTCCAAGCAAAGATGCTGTTTGAAAAATGTGTGAAATACTTTATCTGTCTTCATTTTTAAGGCACACATCACTAAGGTAATACAAAAAAGCTAAGTAGTGAAATTTAATCCCCCCCCCAAAAAAATGTTGGGAAAAACAAATTATAGTTAGCAGGATATCAATCTGTCAATAATATCAGCTCAAACTACTGATATAAGCTAAGAAAAATTCCATCTAATTTTTATTTCTTTCTAATAACTATAAAAAAGGGATTCATATGAATGTACATATCTTTCATATGACAAAATATAAAGTACAGCTTCACAGAAACCGAGGAAATTTAAGATGTTTAATGTATAGTTTGATACCTCAGCTCACAAAAACTGCAGAGTGTATGGATGTAAAAGATAAATGCCATTTCTGATAAATTTTGAATGAGGCTCATGTTTTCCTTGAAACACACTTGTCACTTATTCTCTTAAACTTAAATTTACAATAAAATTTATTAATGTTTTCACAATTATTAAAAAGCCAAAAAATATAATTTAAAGGATTTCTTATTTTGATAGAATTGCTGTCTTTGATGAATAGCCATAGTTTTGCTAATCCTGCTGTATATTTGTCATTCACTTCTAATTTCTTTAAAAAAAATTAAGTTGCGATAATATCATTTTTAAGATAGTATTTTTAAACTTTTTATCAACAAATTGAAGTACCTGCGTTAGAAACCATATTCGTAGAGTTTAATGTTGCATAAGCTGGAGTAAAATTAATCAGACATAGTATTTGCAATATGACGGAAGTATAATCTAAATTTGCTTCAATTTTATATTCTTCAATTTCTAACTAACTATTATAAATTAACTTAAATAGTTTTAATGTCTTGATGAAGAAATACACGTAAATGTAAAATACTTGCATCTGGACCATCGACAAAAAAATCATAAGTAGCATCTTTTATCTTATGTTACAATTGCTTTACTTTTTCTATACTTTCTGTGTTTTCTGTGATTTTTTTCATGTAATATGTAGGCCTACCTCTTTTTATTTTTTTCATTTATATAAGGATAATATTTTATAGCCCCGTTTTTCCCTAATTTTTTGGAGTAAACAATTCTATTATTTTTTTTTAAATATGGAACTTATTTTATGCACGAACTGCATGAATGCGGCCAGCTCGTGCCGCATTCGTGTACTAATGAGCTGCCATTTCGAGTGTGACAGTGATATGGATCGTTGGAGGGCACAGCATCGTGCCTTTGCTGTTGAAAGTTATTTCTTCTCCCGTTATTGCTACCCACGTCATTTCGGAAACATTACTTGGGACGTTTATGGGAAAGTTCATCGGACATTTCGAGACATTCCAGGTAGTAATTTCCCGTTTTGGTGACCCTGCCGCCTCGCTCACCTGATCTTTCAGTGCCGACTTTGGGCACTTGAGCAAGATTTCCCGAACACGTTGTACCACCACCATTCTGAGTTGAAGGATCGCATCCGAACTGCCGCGGTAATGGTCCCAGGGAATACGCTACGCCGAGTTATGGCAAGCTTCCAAAGCCGCCTAGATTAATGTGTTGGCAGAGGGGGCATCATATTCAAAAGTATCCACGAATGACAACGACTTACAAATTAGTAATGGCATACCTTTAACTATTAATTGACATAAGAGGTAATAAATAAATTACACTTACTGCCTTATGGTGTGCTTTTAATATCCTACTATGAACGCTGCCGCACCCTATACTTTGCCTTATCTCTATCTTCATTCACTAAGTTGTCAAATAAATCTTTACAAAATTTTCTTCTTTGAATTTTTTTTACTCGACGAAAAGACTGTTTTTATACATTTGTTTGAAAATTACATTTTTCATCTTTTTCAAATAGTACTCTTCATCACATTCAGTACCCTTTGTTTATTTAAATCTCTTAATTCTCTGTCTTAATTACTTATTTTAATCCCTTGATTAGAACTGGTAAAACAAATGAGTAAACTGTTAAGACTGTAAAACAACCTTTTACAGTTTGGTTTATCAACGCTTTCGAAGTCCTACTACCTGGTTGTTGATTTAGCGTAAGAAAATAAAAATAACTTCAGATCCAAGTTGGTTTGATTGCGCCTTCAGTAATCTCTTAATGAATATGAATAGCATCTTATCCTTGAAAAATATTAGCTGTATATTTTCCTTCTTTGTGAAATTCCTCATTTAAGATTCAAATCTTAAAATGTCATATGAAATCAATACGATAATATCTTTCTAATTAAACTACAAACTTAGATCTAGCAAACACTCTCTCAAATTTAATTGGAGGATCATTACATGTGAAACATTCTTTCAGAAAATTATGCTTTCTTATCAGTCATGGCTTACATCAAATCTGTTAAAGGAAGAAAGCTTGTTATTTTCATTCTATTTACCAGAGAAAATGATTGAGAAACTATTCGTTTAAACTTCACAGGATTTTGAGTACTCAATAAAATCTTCAATTTTATTACATTCTTTTGAATGTACTGTTAAGAAATCCATGTATAAAGGTGATAAACATTTCCTTTAATTAAAATCAGCAGGTTCTTGTATAAAACAAGCATCAAACTTCTATAGGGGATTTACCTTTATCTCTTAATAGAAAAATTTAAACAGAAGGACTTTTTTGTAAGAAACACAAATTATATTGAAATTTTCTACCTGAGGTCTTTAAATAATCAGCAATAGTTTTAGACGTAAAGCTTTTCCTCAGTTTTACAGTTTCATGCCAATATTCACCAAGTGATCAAATGTTCTACAATATTATATTTGGCATAACTGTAATAGTTTTCCTCACTGAGTTCTATCTCTTGTAGATACATCTAAATTTATTATTCTGTTTTCAATTTTTTTTCATCTTCTTCCAATCATCTTTAAGATAACATACATGGTGTCCCATCAAGACCGCCAAACTCTGAACAGCCAGATTCCTCGTATGGAATACATAAAAAATGCCAAAAGAACTGTACCTGTACTATTCATAGTTTTCAATGAAAATGCGAAAGAAAAGTGCGACATCATATCCGGTGCAAGGGAAAAAAATTCTTTCCTGGAAGCATGAACGCATACGCATGCTTGCCTAGATATGCTCGGTGGACAGCTTAAACATCTTATGTAAACATATGCAAATAGCGATGCTCATGTTTCTACGATTTTTTTTTTGGGGGGGGGCTCTTCTACCGCATTTGACATCATACTTTTCTTTCGCAGTTTTCTCGAAACCTACGGGTCGTACCAGTACAGTTTTTCAGGCAGTTTTTGTGCATTTCTAACGAGCATTCTGACTGTGCAAAGTACTGTCGGTTTTGCTGGGACACCCTGCATTTGAAGTTAACATACCTTTAAACCTTTTCTTATTTTTCATACTTTTATCTGTCACTCCGTAAGAAATTCATAGTTGTGAAAACTCCCTGTCAACGTCAGTTATTATTTCTTACATTCAGATCTGGATATTTAATCTGAAGCTGTTTTAGTTGCCCATTCAAAGCCCCTACTACTCACATCTACTGCTGAACTCGTTAACATAAGAATAAAAAGAGTGAAAAATCTCGCTTTCTTATTTAATAGTGTTTACTTGTCTTGAGTCGTTTTCCTTTCACAGTTTAGTCACTAATGTTTTCTTTAAATACGTACACTCTTCTGTAAAATTAAAAGAATTTGCAAATGATGTCTATTTTTACGAAACGTATTGAACCAAGTATACTAATTATGCCCCCCGAAGAATCATGCAAATGTTCGGATTCGAGTACGTAAGCGTACGCGTGCGTATCTGTGGAGCTGTGATCGTGGAAGTGATACAAGCGCACAAGGGGTTTGCGACGATCTGTCTGCTCCTACTCTTTCACGACAGTCGCCGTGTTTCTCGAAGTGTTGGCTAAATTTTATTAGGCATCAGGTAAAATGAGGAGCCACGAACGTAGGGATGACGAAATGAGATGGCGAATTGTCCACAGATTGGAGACAACTCAATCACAAGAGCTGGTGGCTACACACAACACGCGCATTGGACCAGACTTCAGTGCAGCAAGGTGTATTTTACAAATGAGTCGAGATTCAGCCTGGACACTGATTCTCGGAGTACCTGTATTTGTAGAAAGCCTGAAACATGATGCCATCCCCCCTCAAAAAAGGCCATCTTGATCTCCCATCAAGATGACCTTTCCTCAACAGGGAAAGTATGCAGGCATTTTGTTGGACGGAAGCACACCCCTGCATGTGTTTGAAAAAGGCTTTCTCACTGCTATGAGGTATAGGTGGGAGATCTTAGAGCCCTATGTTAGAATTTTCCTGACCGCAGTTGGTCCCTGGTTTCTGTTAACGGACGACAACGCTCGTCCACATAGGGCTCAGCTGTTCGGCGATTACCTGGAAAGTGAGGATATTCGTCGTATGGATTGGCCATCCAGATCCTCTGACCTTAACCTTATACAGCATGTCTCGGAGGCTCTTCGTAGGGCGATTCCTCTCCGAGAACCGTCCCGGAGTTGAAAATTGCCTTGCTGCAGAAGTGGAATCGACTGCCACAGGCACTTCTCCGCTGCCTCCTGTCCGGTATGCCGTCACGCTGCGCGGCCTGTCTGGTTGTGAGAGGTAACCATGTCCCATTGCCACGC